TATTGTGAAAATGTCAATGTTACCCAGGGCAATTTACACGTATAATGCAATCCCTATCAAAATACCATGGACTTTCTTCAGAGACTTAGAACAAATTATTTTAAGATTTGTGTGGAATCAGAAAAGACCCTAAACAGCTAGGGGAATTTTAAAAAAGAAAACCATATCTGGGGGCATCACAATGCCAGATTTCAGGTTGTACTACAAAGCTGTGTTCATCAAGACAGTGTGGTACTGGCACAAAAACAGACATATAGATCAATGGAACAGAACAGAGAACGCAGAAGTGGACCCTGAACTTTATGGTCAACTAATATACGATAAAGGAGGAAAGACGATCCACTGGAAGACAGTCTCTTCAATAAATGGTGCTGGGAAAATTGGACATCCACATGCAAAAGAATGAAACTGGACCACTCTCTTGCACCATACACAAAGATAAACTCAAAATAGATGAAAGATCTAAATGTGAGACAAGATTCCATCAAAATCCCAGAGGAGAACTCAGGCAACACCCTTTTTGAACTTGGCCACAGTAACCGGAGAAGGACAAACAGTGTATGTTCTCATTCATTTGGGGAATATGAATAATAGTGAAAGGGAATATAAGGGAAGGGAGAAGAAATGTGTGAGAAATATCAGAAAGGGAGACAGAACATAAAGACTTCTAACTCTGGGAAATGAACTAGGGGTGTTGGAGGGGGAGGAGGGCGGGGGGTGGGGGTGAATGGGTGACGGGCACTGAGGGGTACACTTGACGGGATGAGCACTGGGTGTTATTCTGTATGTTGGTAAATTGAACACCAATAAAAATTAATTTATAAAATTTAAATAAATAAATAAATAAATAAATAAAAAACAAATGGTACTGGGAAAATTGGACAGCCACATATAGAAGAATGAAACTGGGCCATTTCTTTATACCATACACAAATATAGACTCAAAATGGATGAAAGACATAAATGTAAGACAGGAATCCATCAAAATCCTAGTGGTGGACACAGGCAGCGAACTCTTTGACCTTGGCCCCAGCAACTTCTTGCTAGACACATCTTCAAAGGCCAGGGAAACAAAAGCAAAAATATACTATTGGGACTTCACCAAAATAAAAAGCTTCTGCACAGCAAAGGAAATAGTCAACAAAACCAAAAGTCAACCAACAGAAATGGAGAAGATATTTGCAAATGTCTCATCAGATAAAGGGCTAGTTTCCAAAATCTAAAGATCTTATCAAAATCAACACCCAAAAAACAAATAATCCAGTCAAGAAATGGGCATAAGACATGAACAGATATTTCTCTAAAGAAGACATACAAATGGCCAACAGACACATGAAAAAATGCTCAATATCACTTAGCATCAGGGAAATACAAATAAAAACCATGATGAGATACGTCTCATATCAGTTGAATGGCTAAAATTAACAAGTTAGGAAACAACAGATGTGGGTGAGAATGTGGAGAAAGGGGAATCCTCTTACAGTGTTGGTGGGACTGTAAGCTGGTACAGCCACTATGGGACTGTAAGATGGTAGAGTATGGAGGGTCCTCAAAAAGTTGAAAATAGAGCTACCCTATGACCCAGCACTTGCACTACTAGGTATTTATCCAAAGGATATACATATAGTGATTTGAAGGGGCATCTGCACCCCAATGTTTATAGCAGCAATGTCCACAATAGCCAAAATATGGAAAGAACACAGATGTCCATCCACTGTTGAATGGATAATGAAGATATGTTATACTAATGGAATATATGTATATATACACACACACACACACACACACACACACATACACATATATATATATATAATGGAATACTACTCAGCCATCAAAAAATGAAATCTTACTATTTGCAACAACATGGATAGACCTAGAGGGTATTATGCTAGCAAAATAAGTCAATCAGAAAAAGACAATAATCATATGATATCACTCATGTGGAATTTAAGAAACAGAACAGAGGATTATAGGGGAAGGGAGGGAAAAACAAGACAAAATCAGAGAGGGAGACAAACCATACGAGACTCTTAACTATAGGAAATAAACAGGGTTGCTGGAGGGGAGCGAGGGATGCAGTAACTGAGTGATGGGCATTAAGGAGGGCACTTAAAGTAATGAGCACTAAGTGTTATATGCAACTGACGAATCACTAAACTATCTCTGAAACCGATAATACACTGTTATTTAAATGAATTTAAATAAAATAAAATTTAAATTAAAAAAAAAAGGCAGGTGGGAAGGAAGGAAGGAAAATCTCGAGGAAGGACCCACCATTTCAAGTAGAAAACTAGTAGAAATGAGACTCAAATGGCTCATTTGAGTGGTTGTTAGACCACTGCTATGACTACAGTTTAGATGAAGTGTGTCTCCTTTGCATTTTGTTTTGTGATTCATTCCATGGCTATTCTTATGAGAATCACTGTGACTAACCTTGGCTGAGCACTTACTTTGTGCTAGGTTCTGTTCTCAGTCCCTACCATGAATTAACTCACTTAATCCCCTTAACGACCCTAGGAGATAGTATCTATTATTTTGCCCATTTTATAGATGAAGAAACTGAAGGACAGAGGTTAAGCAGTTTGCCCAAGATCACACTGCAGTTTGCAGGGGACATAAACAGGATTTGAACCTAGGCAATCTGGCTCCAGGGGCTTAATAACTATATCATACCACCTCTATAGAGGTAAGAAAATAAAATGATGAGATGTCCAGCACAAAAGATGCCAGCAATCCATTCCATCTTCCTGGGGAGGGAAATGTAACTGGCAGACCCTGGGTTACTTCACCACAAGATCCAACACTGGGCCGAGAAAGACTAAAAAATAAGATAATAATGAGACAAAAAAAAAAAAAAAAAAAAAAAATATATATATATATATATATATATATATATATATATATATATATATATCTCCTAAGTCCTCAACTAGGTTGAGTTCCTCTTGAAGCTGGTTCTGGGATCAACCCAGGAAGGTCAGAATTGGTGAGGGATCTAGTCCTTTCTGCATAAAGGAGGCTAAGAGGCCCCAGGGAAGTCAGAAGTATATGCACATCTTATCCTCCCTCAACATCTCTAGAAGGCAGGTATTGTTGTACCTATTGTTACCCAAGGGGTGCAAGGAGGTTAAGTTATTTGCTCAGGATCACATAGTAAATGGCAGAGCTAGGATTATACCTAGGGCTATTTCTCTCATTCTACCAGAAAAGCTCTCCCCAAAACTCTTTCAGGATAAAGATCACCTGCTAAAATTCTTTTTCGGGCCCCCTCCACTGAATCAGAATGCTCAAGGGAGGGCCTAGGCATTTGTTTTCATAATGATCCCCCTCATTATTTTAATCAACAGGTAAGTCAGGAAATGTGCTATGCCATAGGGTCAAAACCCCCTGTTTTAAAAAATATAAACTCCAATTGGATTAGATTTATTTCTTTCCCTTTCAGTTCTCAGAGACCAAAAAAACATGTGTCTAATCCAACTGACACATAAGTAGTACAATTTTAATCTGAAATATGTGATATGCAATGGCCCCTGGGACATAGGGAAGGAACAAGGCTGGAGAAGAGCCTTATTCCACCACTTTCAAGCCATATGACCTTATATCTAATCTACAAAATACAGAAACGAAATAATGTAAGCAAAAGTATTTAGGTAAAACGTAAAGATTTTACAATTGAAAGGAGCTCATCTGTTTATACTAATCAGTGAACATAAATATTATGACGATGTTTTAACAATGCTCTCTAATCAAACACTGCAGTCTCTAATCCTCACTAAATAATGATTTATTCTTCCATTTATTGGGTCTGTTCAACATGCCAAAGTACTGCTCTGGCCACTAGAGACATGGCATGGACAGTCAGGCTCATGTGGTATTTACCTTCAAGTAGGGGAAGACACAGAGTAAACAACTAAACACAATAATGACTGAGTACACAGAAAGGGAAGGAACAGAACAGTGGGAGAAGACAGTGGCTGGAGTTGGGGAAGGCCTCTGTGAGGAGCTGATATTTCAACCAAGACCTAAGGGTGAAAAGGAACCCACCCTGTGATAATCCAAAGGAAGAACATTCCAGGCAGGTGGAATATCAGTGCAAAGTCCTGGGGTAGGAAAGTACTCCAAAAGGCAGAGGGCCAACAAAGCACAATGTGAGCCCTGGGAGAGACTGTGTGGGGCCTTCCAGACCATGTTCAAGTCTACATTTTGCTCTAAGTGTGATGAAAAGTCCTTGGAAATTTTAAGCAAGGAAGTGACTTCATCTGAGTTTTAAGCTTTACTCTGACTTCTGGGTAGAGAATAAACTATAAGAGGACAAGAATGATAGTAGGAAACCAGTTTGGGACTTCTGCAGTGGTCCATGTATGCTGGGGGCTTGGACAAGGTAGTAGCAGGGGGTGAGAGTGGTGGGCGATGAAAGGAATTGGAGTGGAGTTAACAAAACTTGCCTGTGGGTTGGATGTGGCTACGAGGGAAGGAAGAGGCAGCGCTGTCTGACAGCATCTCTCTGGATACCCCAGCTCCAGGAGCTTAGAAACAAGAGATTCTAGGCATCTTAGTTGCTGGATTCTGGGGCCTACCCCGGAAACTCATTCTGGGCATTCCAGACAGTGGGACTCCAGTTGGGCTCACTTCAGAGATTAATTAAAAGGGAAGGTGGCTGAGAAAACACTCTCCGTGATACATGACTTAAGATGAAAAATTGGTGGAGAAATTTTTCTTGCTTAAATAAAACTTCACAGGAAGGAGGGTAGAAATAGCCCTTGACAAATGCAGCCAATTAGTTTTTTTTAAATGAGCTCATTTTTGTCCAGCCTTCACCTCTCCCCTAGACCTGGGGCTGAGGGATAGGGGAGGTCTGGGACAAAGAGCTTGAGAGAAGGGGGGAAAGGAGTAGCAGCAGGGGGGTGGGGATGGAGATTGCTGGGCCCTAGAAAATGCAGGAGGAGTGCCCAGACTAATCTTCTCATCACCTTTGCCTTTCTTTGTGTCGTGTCTAGGAGTGACCGTGCAAGCCCTTTCCACAGTCCCCGTCATGTTTAGTTACTGGGTGAGTGTGAAACCTCAGACCATCTCCTTGGTGGGCGAAGGCTCACATCCAGCTCACTAGTGAGTAGACAGGTATCTCAAGTCTTGACATTGCCCCCCAATTCTCCTCCCCTTTAGAGATCACCAGGGACCCCCAGCTTTTCACACTGCAGTGTCCCCTTCCAGGCTTTCTTCCCAATCATGTTCTTGTTCTAGACCCACATGGTCCAGAACAGTAGCCAGGAGCCACGTGTCAATGTGGGGCTTGCATTTCCATTGAACAGGGCAATTCTAGACTCAATCTTAATTCCATCAGAACTTACCTGTCTCAAACATGAGAGACACCTAACTCTGGGAAACAAACAGGGGTGGTAGAAAGGGAGGTGGGCAGGAAGTTGGGGTGACTGGGTGACGGGCACTGAGGGGGGCATTTGACGGGATGAGGACTGGGTGTCATGCTATATGTTGGCAAACTGAACTCCAATAAAAAATTTTTTTTAATTAAAAAAAAAAAGAACTTACCTGTCTCATGATTCATTCCTGCAATACCTTCCTCAGAAATTGACAAGCCAGTTTATTCTGAGATGATAATGACTGGGGAGTGAGAACAGTAATAATGGCCTAATATGTTGCCTCTCCAGGGGAAACACACAATTCAAAATGGTATTCCTATGGTTGGATATCTCTCTCCAAGAGATTAAGAGTCAAGCACTGAGTTGCAGGCATGATCACAACCTGTGGGAGGTCATTTTTGTACATAGCTGGGGATGCACTAAGTATCTGCTAAACTAAGAGAATATTCATTTGTGTTGTGACTTAGGAGCAATGGAAATACCACCTGCTTACATATACTTTCCTCACCTGTGCTCATATTCCAGTATTAGTGTTTCAGTCTTTATCTGTTCCTGGGATTAGATTCATTTTTTATTTTTGAGGGAAAGAGAGCAAGAGAGAAAGCTCAAGGAGGGGGAAGAGGCAGAGGAAGAGGGAGAGAGAATCTCAAGCAGGCTTCCTCCTGAGCGTGGAGCCCAACAAAGGGCTTGATCTCACAACCCTGAGATCATGACCTGAGCCAAAATCAAGAGTTAGACGCTTAACCAACTGAGCCACTCAGGTGCCTCTAGACTCATTTTTTTAAATAAAAATTCTCTAAGGTTTTAATATGCACAAATTTATTAGAGTTTATACTCTTTTGACTGAACAACTGGAATTTCAAGAGAGTACCAAACACCTGGCAATGGGGTGGGATGAAGTTAAAAGGAAAGAAAAAAACAAAGAAGGGAGTGTTAGGGGAAGAGAAAGCAAACCATCTGCATCAGCATTTTGCTAAGGCAGCTCTTGAGTGTCACTGTCAACAGGAAGAGCAGAAAGGAACACAGACAGGGACAGGAGGGGTCTGTGAGCAGCCTGGCATCCCATGATGAGGCATGACAAGGAGGTGTGCTGCTGGTGATGTGGGACACTCACCAGGCCTAGACTCCTGCATAGGGAGCTACTGTGCTCCCTGGGCCACCCTACAAGCCCCTGTCTGCACTAGGGTGGATGGGGAGCTCTGGCCCATCCTCTTTCCATCTCTTCTATGGATGACAGGTCTAGTAGTTGTGTCCATCCCTTCTGATTATAGCTTCAATTTTTCTAATTAATCGGTAATATACCACCAGTTTTCTTTACTTTTGCAGTGATTGGCTTTTGGGTCTCCTTCAGCCAGTGCCTATTTCAGTCTGTGCCCCAGCTTGCTGAGGGATAAAAGCCATGGATAGCAACAAATGATTGAGCCCAGGACAAGTGTTGTTGTTCAGAGGAAATATCTAAAGAAGTAGGTTGTGAATGATATGATTTTCCCTTACCTATCTCTGCCAGGCCAAACCTCAGGACACTTTAGACCTGTGCCAGCTTTTAAACGACGACTTAGCTGCCACTGTTGCGAACCATCCCAGGAGGTTTGTGGGCCTGGGGACATTGCCCATGCAGGCTCCTGAGCTTGCCGTCAAGGAGATGGAGCGCTGTGTGAAGGAGCTGGGCTTTCCCGGGGTCCAGATTGGTTCCCATATCAACGAGTGGGACCTGAATGCACGGGAACTCTTCCCCTTCTACGCAGTAAGTACTCCATGATCTCTCAGCCAACACGCAGCAGGCACTGCACTGGGTGCAGGAGGCCAGAATATGAATATGCCACTTCCATAGCAAGGGGAAAGAAGATGCCTGATAACATGCTGCATATTGCAGGAAATATGGAAAGAGTTTCCCCAAAAGGAGTGGGCTATTCCACTAGAAGACAGACACGTGGAAATGCTTGGCAGGCCAGCTCAGAGTTAGCTCAGGGAAATCTCTCATTTCTCTCTTACTTTCTATCCCCCCATGCTCTCTTTCTACTCTTTCATTTGGAAGCTGAAATATTACCCTCATCCCAGCCATGGTACAAAAGGCCATGTTAGTGACATGCAAAAAAAAAAAAAAGAAGAAGAAGAAGAAGAAGAAGGAAAAGGTACTTATTTTGCTTTAGAAAAAATGCTGATTTTTCAAAATTATGATTTTTGAAGAAATTCTGGAAAATACAGAAAATTATAAAGAAGAAAACAAAAATAACCCATAATCCCACTACCCAACGATAAATAACCACTGTTACTATACATTTTGTTTGACTTTTTGTTTGCATGTTTCTGTATATATTTTAATGAAATCTGAATTCTATTACACATGTGATTTCATATCCTTTTTTTAAAAGATTTTATTTATTTATTCATGAGAGACACAGAGAGAGAGAGAGAGGCAGAGACACAGGCAGAAGAAGCAGGCTCCATGCAGGGAGCCCGACATGGGACTCGATCCAGAATCTCCAGGATCACACCCTGCGCTGCAGGTGGCGCTAAACCGCTGCACCACCGGGGCTGCCAGTGATTTCATATCCTAATTAATAATTTCCAATCTAGGGGATCCCTGGGTGGCTCAGCGGTTTGGCGCCTGCCTTTGATCCTGGAGTCCCATTGATCCTGGAGTCCCGTTGATCCTGGAGTCCCGGGATCGAGTCCCACATCTCTTTCTCTTTCTGTGTCTCTCATGAATAAATAAAATCTTAAAATAATAATAATAATAATAATAATAATTTCCAATCTAGGGATTGCTGGGTGGCTCAGTCAGTTAAGCATCTGCCTTTGGCTCAGGTCATGGTCCTAGAGTCCTGGAATTGAGCCCTGCATCAGCTCCCTGCTCAGTGGGGAGCCTGCTTCTCCCTCTCCCTCTGCTCTTAAACCTCCTTGTGCTCTTGCTCTCTCTGTCAGATAAATAAATAAAACTTTTAAAAAAAATTTCCAATCTAAATAAAAATTTTCATAATGCATGACTTTTAAATAACTGCATAATATTCCAATATATGGATATGTTTTATTTAACCAGTCCTCAATTATTACACTTAACCCATATATTTTGAAAATGTATAATTAAAATATGTAACAAAAAACAATGCCATCAAAATGCTAACTAATGAAACTAGCTGGTGAGTATATGGAGGTTCATAGTACTACTGTTTACAATTTTCTACATTTGAAATATTGCATTATAAAGTATATTTTCAGGAACTCAGTGCCATTTTCATCTCTCAAGTATCCAACCAAAGTGTCCAGAGTCCCATGGTCCTCTCTACCAGTCTTCTTCTGCCCTTCTTTCTGCAACTAAATCTGCTTTTCTTCATATGAGGGATCAAGATGCATAATTCTATATTCAATTGCATTTTTTTTATTTCTTACTTCCCTCCTAGAATTATAACAGTATTGTTTTCTATTATTTTCATTGTAAAAGCAAAATCTTCAATAATGGATTAAGTAGATGTTGGTGTACTCACCAGGCACTATAATCACTGATCATTTATTCCTTTAATGTTTGAGTTCTGACCATAAACAAAAATTTTTCCATGTTTGTATCTATGGATACCACCCACCAGTTGGGGGGGTATCTGTTAAACTGACTCCCAATAACCTGAAAGAGTTAATGTTCCTCTAAATATTGAACTCCCTGAAGCTTATTGGCTGCAGGGGCTGAGCTGATGCAGGGATTGTTTTCTAGAAACTTTAATGGGCTTTGAAAGAGAATTTATTCACTTGTGCACCTAAGTTGTTTCAGCACAATATGGGCAAGCCTTCAGCTGCAAGTCATTTTATTAGTCACTTGGATTGGGTTTATGAATTACTAAGGAGCTCAAAAAGTAAATCAGCCAGTTGTGAGTCTAAATGGATATTTTCATTTGTGTGACTAAGTCAATCCATCATTCATTCTAAAGAGTCTTTTTGGGGGGCTGCTGGTCTCTCAGGGAATTCAGGAGAGCATCCTGGCCTCAGCTGATTTGTGATGTTCTGGGGCTGACAGCACGTTTGGTTAGCAAGACTTAGAATCCTCACTAGTCTCTATCTTGCGTCAATAACATGGCTTAAACAAATGACAGGAGTTACCATGAACCAAGTTGGCTTTGTCATTTCAAGGAGATCCTGGAGTTCCAAAGTGTGTAACCCATCCCCCTTATGTCCTAGACCTCCCTACTTAGTGAGTAAACTCAACCACACATGCTCAGGTCAAGTTCCAGGCACAAAAATGACCTCATTACCAGTATGAGGCAAACAGACTGGTACCATGTATCAGCCACAAGACCTGAGTAAATTACCTAGCCTCTAATTGCCTTAGTTTCTTTCTCTGTAAAATAAGAGTAACAAAAATGCTTATCTCAGAAGGTATTATGCTAAGTGAAATAAATCAGAGACAGAGAAATAAATACCATATGATTTCACTTATATATGGAATCTAAAAGGAAAATAAACAAACAAAAATAGTAACAGACTCAATAAACGCAGAGAACAAACTAATGGCTGCAAGAGGGAAGGGGGTAGGGTATGGGCAAAATGGGTCAAGCAGAGTGGGAGATACTTGGCTTCCAGTTATGGAACACATAAGTCACAAGGATGAAAGGTACAGCATAGGGAATAAAATCAATATTATAATACTGTTGTATGGTGACAGATGATAGCTATACTCGTGTGAGCACAGCATAATATACAGAGTTGTCAAATCACCATGTTGTACACCTGAAAGTAATGTAACATTGTGTGTCAACTATATTTCAATTTTAAAAAGTGCTCATCTTATAAAGGATTAAACTAGTTAACTGTAAAATTCTTATAATAGTTTTAGCATATGGTAAGTTCTTAGTTAATATGAGATCATGATTTTGAAAGTTAAGTGACTTCTTTCTGTGTTCTCTACAATGCCTCACAGAGAAGGGATAAAAAAATATTTACTAATTTAAATTGATGAGAAATGCACCATCACAGGTGCATAGAATAAAGTTTTATTCTAATAAGAGTCAAATCCCACTGAGATACCATGATTTTGTGCCTTTGATACCCCTCCCAAGAAGTTGACCCAGCCTGCATCCATTATCAGAAGCTAATTAGCTCCTCTCCCTTCTGCCCCCAGAACCTGATGAATTAGAAGTCCATTCTCCAATCTACCCTTTATCTGCCACTTCCAGAATCCCTTGTTGCCCAAGAATTGCATCTCCATTTTAAAAATGCTTATGTCAAGGGGTGCCTGGATGCCTCAGTCAGTTAAGTGTCAGGGTCTTAATTTCAGCTCAGGTCATGATATCAGAGTGGTGAGATAGAGCCTGGTGTCGGGTTCCACACTGGGCGTGGAGCCTGCTTAGAATGATTTCTCTCCCTCTGCTTCTTCCCCTGACCCCTGCTAATGTTCATGCTCTCTCTCTTTCTCTTTTCCTAAAAATAAATAAATAAAAATAAAAATAAATAAAAATGCTCCTGTCCAGAACTCACATCGCATCAGTCTATTTAGCCCACATATTTATATGTGAAGGTAGGATGAATCACTCCAGCACCTCAATATATTTGGAAAAGAAACGAAGTAAGGAAAACCTATTTTGAACCTTGTTAAGCACTCATACCCAATGCCTGTTGAGGGAACTTTTTGAAATTAAACATTTTGTTGAATAAAAGTCATTCCATCCAGATAGGATTTCCACTTCCCAGAAGGCCCTGGAAAAAAGGTTTGCCCATGACATTCATCTCAGTGTCTACCTGGCTGAGACACTGTGAGCTCTTGACTTTCTAAAGTCCTCTCATTCACAAGACTGTTCAGGGACTCAGCTGGGCTGCTGAGGCTTTGTAAGTACCTGTAGATTCCCAGAAATTCCCAGCCGGTGTTGGGCTCTGTCTGGCCAATGGTTTGGGTCAGGCCAGCCTGCTCCAGTCCAGTCATAAGACCTTGGCCCCCAGCCCAGCACTTCTACACTTTGACATTCTCAAGTTTCCAAGTGGGAGGAAACAAGGGAACCCTCTAGATCTGACTCCAAGGGTACAATCCGAATTGTCCTTCTGAAAAACTGGATCAAGTAGGAACCATCAGGGGAAACTTCCCCTGCATTTGAGGCATGGGATCAGTCCTTGAGCATTTTGCTCTCAGCTAAAACATTTGAATCTGGATGTTTCCTGCAACTTGTTTTGCCAAACAATATATTAAATTCATCAACCTCGGTGGTAAATCCACCAAGCCCCTTGTTAATTCTAAAGAGACCTTCTTATTTTCTAAGCAGGAGCAGAATTTCTCAATGCCTCTTTTATATAGATTAAGAAATAACCTCAAACATAGGTTAGCTTATTTATTCAGATCAATATAGAGTCAGAGAAAAAACAGTTTCCCTAAAATAGCACCCTATATCTGCTGGCTCATCCAAATAACTCTCTCTCTCTCTCTCTCTCATTGCTTCTTTAAAGGTGGCAGAAAAACTGAACTGTTCGTTATTTGTGCACCCCTGGGACATGCAAATGGATGGACGGATGGCCAAATACTGGCTCCCTTGGCTTGTAGGTTTGTATCAACTTGGCATCTGGAAAAGAGAATCAAGCCTTTGGGTTTTTTTTTTTTTTTTTTTTTTGGTTTTTTTTTTTCAATTATTTCTGGAACCCTACCATGTCAAAAAGAGAAAGTATGAATAATTAACAGGATTGTGAGTTATTGAGCTCTTGGATAAATGCTGCATATATTACTGTAATTTGAATCATATCCACACAAAACTCTATGAGATTGACATTATAATAATTACTTTATAGGTGAAGAAATTGAGTCTCAGATTGGTTAGATAAGTTATCCAAGTCATACAGTTAATAAGTGAAAATGGAATTTACACAAATCTGTCTGACTTCAAAGGTACCTCACTACAGACTCCCAAAAAGGCTTCAAAAATAAGTAACCATGCCTACCTAATGGATTTTTTTAAAGATAACCATGCTTGTCTAATAGATTTTTTTTTAAAGAGCCAACAATAGTATCAGCCCTTACAACGAGAACTGTGGAGTTACAAGTAGAAGGTCAACTTCCACCACACTAGATCGTAGATGACTCAGGCTTTCAATTTTCCTGTTATCTGCTCCTTTCTACTGTTCTGTGTTCCTACACAGAGGGAAAGGGAAAGAAGAGAGACTTCTGCTTGGCCTTTCCAATCTCTCCTTATTATCCCCGATAATGAGAGATGGTGACAGGTATCAATTCTGTGGCCACAAGTAAAAAGTGTAGTTCATCTACAAACCCAGTAAATAGTGGGTTTCCCACATGAACAGCCTTGAATTTTCTTTAGGGAAGCCATTATCCATTCTCTCCTCAGCCCAATTAGTATAAGTAATGATATAGTAACCCACATGAAGAATTAAATGGAGTGATATATTGGATGTAAGAAAACTGAGTTTCAGTTCAGCTAGTCTCTAGTTCTCTGTATAACCGGTGTTCTCACTTCACCTTTTCAGGCCCATTTCTCATGTGTAAAATGGGAGAGCTAGTCTACACTATATCCTTCTGCTCTGACATTTTGTGGCTCTCTGATTGCTTTTGGAGACCAACATATTTAGTAAGGCAGCCTCCTACCCATCCTCCACCAAATTTTTGAGCAACAATTAGCAGGAAGAGACAACCTAAGAGGCACCAATGCTGTCCAGCTCCAAAGAAAATCTCATCCTAATTCAGGCAACACTTTGACTAGTACCACAAACTTATTTGTATTATAACATACCATATGAAAAACAGAGAGGAGGGGATCCCTGGGTGGCACAGCAGTTTGGCGCCTGCCTTTGGCCCAGGGCGCGATCCTGGAGACCCGGGATCGAATCCCACGTCGGGCTCCCGATGCATGGAGCCTGCTTCTCCCTCTGCTTGTGTCTCTGCCTCTGTGACTATCATAAATTAAAATAAAAATAAAAAAAAAGAAAGAAAAACAGAGAGGATACAAAGCCACTTCATCATTCATTTATGCAACACGTATATATTGATCCCCTCCAATATGCCAGGCCCTTACTAGGCACTGAGGACATTGACATGGACCAACCCTATGCCCTCCTGAAGCCTGTGTTCTGGTTAGAAGAAAGAGATGACAAACAATTGCACATATAATAAACAAATAGGCTAATTTCAGAATTCTATTCTGGACACAAAAGGTTACTAGAAGATTAGAGGACTCCCAGTAAGGGAAGGACATGATGCAACTGACACTGTAATTATTCCATTTTGGCTCCTGTTATGGAGAATGGATTATGTAACTATGGTCCAAGTAGTTAGGAGAGCAGAATCACGGGACCAAAAGGCAGTGATGCTGTCCATCTCCCTGCCTTCAGGAAGCTCTGTCCACAAACCACTCCCAGATGGATATGAATTTATGGTTCTTCCAGAATTCCCAAAAGGCCAGGGATCCGGGGGTATCTCTGAGCAATGACAGGCTTGGGGCAAGATAAGCATCTGGTATAGCCCCATTTGGCAGCCAGAGAGTAAGTCTTCTCCTGAAGTACAGACTTGCCTGGGGAGCCCCCAGAGATCTCTGAAAAGCAGTTGCCTGGAAATGTATCCTAGACTAACTCCATGGAGCTGAAGGCATCAGGCATGGAACAGCTGCTCCTTTTAGGGGCACAAAGCACTTGAAACAACTTATTTTAACCCAGGTATCTTCAACTTCATCTCTAAGAAGCAGGAAAGATTTGGCAGTAATTATAATTTTAGTTAATATTTATTTAGTAGTAAGTGGCAAGAACAAATGCATTCTACAGATGAGGCAGCTGAGGCATGGGGAAGCAACTAATATTTGTGGAGCACCTCCAATGTGAAGTTCTGGCCAGGACTCTGCCCAACATCATTGTTTTCAAGGCTCCACAATAGTCTTGCAAGATGGGCAACACTATCCCCATTTTACAGGTGAAGAGGCACAGGCTCAGGGACATTAAATAATTTGTCAAACGTAGATGCCTGGGTGGCTCAGTGGTTGAGCATCTGATTTTTGGCTCAGGACGTAATCCCAAAGTCCAGGGATCAAGTCCCACATCAGGCTCCCTGCAGGGAGCCTGCTTCTCCCTCTGCCTATGTCTCTGTGTCTCTCATAAATAAATAAATAAAATCTTAAAAAAAAATAATTTGTCAAAGGCTAGGAAGCCGAAAATTAGAATAGTTAGGGTTCAACTCAGATTCTCTGTACTCTGCTTGCCCCACCACATCCAAAACTGAAGTGGAGGAATCCGAACAAAAGCTAGGTCCTCTGGTTCCTCAACTCTGTTGTCCATTAGATGATTCCACCTGCAAGTGGCAAATAGGAAGCTTTAGATGGTCTGCTCACCAAAGTAATGGTTTGTAGACAACCAAGCCATGTTGGCAGAGAGGGACCTCACATTTCTCAGCATTGACTATCACACCAAGCTCCCATTCCCCAACCATTAGGATCACTGAGCTTCTTGCTTGAGATGACAAGCACTGCACCTTGTGACTGTTCCCTCTTTCAGGAATGCCAGCAGAGACCACCACAGCCATTTGTTCCATGATCATGGGAGGAGTGTTTGAGAAATTTCCTAAATTGAAAGTGTGTTTTGCACATGGAGGTAAGGCCCTATTTGCATTACTCAGCTCAGTCTACCATGATAAAATACCACAATCTCGGTGGCTTAAACAACAGAACTTTATTTTCTCAGTTCTGGAGACTAGAAGTCCAAGATCAAAGTGCCAGCAGGGTTGGTTTCTGGTGAGATTTGTCTTCCTGGATTGAAGAAAGTCATTTCTCACTATGTATGTAACATGTCGCTTTGAATTGGTACAGAGATGACTCTAAAGAATAGGAGCTGAAGGGAATTACCCGGCTATGTGGATTATCTGGGATTTTCCTGGTATATGTAATGGTTCTCTGGCAATACACACACTGTGTTGAAGGAGGCTCTGGGGTGGATCTCCTGTGTAAGCAAATCTAATCCTAAAACTCACTATCCCTCTCCTTTCTCCTATCAGATTAAAGTCCCACTTTATAACCTCATTTAACCTTACATTGCCTCCTTAATTACTCCTGTCTCCAAATACAGTTATATTGGGAGATAGGGCTTCAACATACGAATTTTGGAGGGACTCCATAATTCAGTCTATAACATGCCTGCAGCCATCATTCTAGTCATAAAGTATATGGTGGTTTGGGGACCAAACTCCATTTTTGCAGGCAAAGTTAGTTTGGTTGGCGTAGTTTTTGTTTTATTGTGTTGTTTTGTTGTTGCTGTTGTTTAAATTCCTCTAGTCAAACCACAAGCTCTCCAGTTTGCAACAGTCCCTACCACTCTCTACTATTTACAAATAGGCCTATTTCATTCATTTACATTTCCTGCTCTTGGTCCCTCCAGGTAATTGAGTTTCTAATTTCTAACTCTTGGGCACACACACACACACACACACACACACACACACCACCACAACCACCATTTTTGATGGTTGTGTGCATGGCAATACATTTTATGGGTATGCCATCATTATTTAGATATTTCCCAACTGATAGGTTGCCTCTGTATTTTGCTATTATAAGCACAGTACATTTGAAAAGCCTGACCACATATCTTCACACACTTATCTTCTTTCTTTAGGATAAATCCCTCAAACGTGAATTTATACATGAGTTCATATCATTTGTTCTGGGTCATCTCCCAGCATTTGGGACACAATAAATTCTTTGTAAATACTGGACCACAGTAATTTCTCTTTGCATACAACATAAGAATTGAAAAATATCCTTTTCAATTGACACTAGCCCCTCACTAATGGGTTTTACTTGCAGGTGGTGCCTTCCCTTTCACAGTTGGAAGAATCTCCCATGGATTCAACATGCGTCCAGATCTGTGTGCCCAGGACAATCCAATCAACCCAAAGAAATACCTTGGTTCCTTTTACACAGACTCCTTGGTTCATGATCCTCTGGCACTCAAGCTCTTAACAGATGTCATAGGAAAGGCAAGTTGGGTCTTCCCTGTGGATGGCTTATGGGGAGCAAAGTATAGGATCAGCAACTGGTTACTTGGCCTCTCTCCAAAAAGGGGATGGAAGAAAATGCATTAGAAGAAAGGAGAGGAACAGGGAAGGTTAGGATTAGATTTGCTTGTACAGGAGCCTCCTTCAACACAGTGTATAATGCTAAGGAACCATCAATATACACCAGGGAAATCCCAAATAATCCACATGGCTGGGTAATTCCCTTAGATCAGCTCTGTTCCTTAGGGTCATCTCTGTACCCATCCAAAATGACATGCTGCAATATGGTAAGCAGGAAAAGAGCTACCAATTTTGAAGTCAAATTGACCTGTGTTAAAATCTTGGCTCTACCTCTTACTAATTGGGCAAATTACGAACCCAACTGTCCTCATCGACTAAATAAAAACTGGGACATTAAAGAAGGAGGAAATGACATTTGACAAGGAGGCAGGGGAAGATGATGAAGGGTCTGGAATACCACCTGAAATTTTTTTCTGGAATAATAATGTATGGTCATCATTTTGAAAACAATTTTATCATTTGGCCCAAAAAGACCAATATGGTATTACTTTAAACTTCCCAAGAGAAAGTCTTTTGTTGTCATCTGCTCACAGATCTCCTTCTTAGTGGCATTTCCACCTTTAAGTCTTTTTTTGAAAATGCTAACTCTGTAGGTTACATCATTATTAGGGCATTATTAGGGCATCATTATTAAGGCAAAGTCCAGTTTGAATTAGTGAAAATTCTCAAAAGTTTATTATTTCAATTCCCTCATATTATTTACAAATATTTATAGAAGGCTTCCAAATTTTCTAAGGAAAAAAAACTTGAGGATTTATTTAAAAATATGGACATTTTTAAAGATTTGTAATGTGATACTTGGATTGAAAGTAGACTCTAAGGTATTTAAAATCTTGTCTGGCAGAAAAAGAGGTCCATCATTTCAAAGTTGCAAGAGGTTTCCATTTCCAGAATGAAGACTTCATTTTACTTTAAAGCTGTTTCCCTGGCTTAAGAAACTCACTAGAATATAAATATTAAATATTCTGGTTTGGTAACAAATCATATAGTTGAGCTGTGCTTCTGAGCTTTCTAGCTTTTATGTTATTCTTGCCAAAATGGTGCTTAGCTCTGTCCAAATCAACTGTCCAAAATTTATTTGAACAGAGAGGTGGTGGGGAGGAAATTACAAAAAGGAGAAACTGAAAGAGACTGTGAATTCTGAACTTTGAGCAATGGAGGAGAAAGTATGAGGAAGTAGCATGGAAGTGGGAGTCATTCTGACAACCTCCCATCAAACCTAGTACCTCTGGTATTCTTAGAAATAGTAAAATCAGCAGAAAATGCCCCTGGCAAATATAATACCTAACTTATGAGTGAAAACTAGCATTAGCAGTGAGGGATACTATCAGCACCATCAAACACCATTCAGGGCAATACATATTGCCAGGGGGTCAGAGCAAAAGAGGGAGAAAATGGCAAATGCCTTGTGGTAACTAGCAGATGGACTAGTTAGTGATCACATGTGAACACATCCCTTTTAGCGACCCCAGAAAAAGTCAGAGGGCACTTTGCAAAGTTAGTGATGCTCAGAATTTGCATTCTAACTGTGAAGGCTTGAGCCATTATAATTTGGGCATCAAAAAGCAAATGCAACCTCATTTTATGTGGCCTCATTTTATGTGGCTGGTGAATCCAGAACACCACAGCAATATATATTAATAATTTGGATTCTCTCTAAAATATTAATGCTTCCTCCTTCTAGTTATATTCATATTAGCAAATTCTCTCAAAAACAACCCCCAACTAAAATGGCTGAGGAAAGTCCTAGCACAACAGCCAGACAAGAGAGCAACCTGTCCACATTAGAGCACAAGGACAGAATACTGTAAAGGGAAATCTCCAAGAGAGAAAAAAATGGAACTGATGGATCATTTCATGGGTGTGTGAGTTTGAAATGATTACCAGGCATTCAACAGATATGTTGATGTTTTAGGAACAAATAAGCAGTATGTACATAGAAAATTAAGCAAATGAAAGAAAAGTAGATAATTAACTCCAAGAAAACAAACACCCATATGAGGGCAGATAATCATTGTACATTACTTGACTCAGCAGTAAACAATATTTACAGTCATAATAGTATAAAAACTAGGTACTGTTTCAAGTGAAAATTCTAAATCTAATGGAAAAATGGAAGAGAGAAGTTGGAGTAACAAAGAAATTCTCAATGATCATAATGAGAAGTCAGTGAATACTCTCTAAAGGTAAAAAATCAAGAATAGAATAAAGTAATAATATAGAACAATGAAGGTAAGTATCAGAAGATGCAAGTTAAAATGGTGAAAGTGGCTGCCTCGAAGGATAAGAGTTAGGAACATAGGCACAGAACTGCTTTTAATGAGAAAGATATTTTAGTGATATTGGGTTATTTAACTATGTACAGACATTACTTTCATAAATAAAAATTTACATAATACCCTAAGAGTAAATAAATATATAGAAAGAATACAGAGAAGAATAAATATAATAATAAATATTTAGAGGATATATATATATATATATATATACACTATTTTTGAGCCCCTACTATTTCTAAAAATAGTAGAAATTGAAACTGCTAAATGGAGAACCTAAATTACATAATCTCTGAAAGGTATGAGTTGATATCTCATTGTTGTTTTGATTTGAATTTTCCTGATGATCAGTAACATTGAGCATCTTTTCATGTGTCTTTTGGCCACCTGTATGCCTTCTTTGGAAAAATCTCTATTGATGTCATCTGCCCACTTTTATTTTATTTTATTTTTTCATCTGCCCACTTTTAATTGGATTAATCATTTTTGGGGTATTGAGTTTTATAAATTCTTTATATATTTTGGATAATAACCCTTTATCAGATATGTCATTTGCAAATATTCCATAGGTTACCTTTTAGCTTTGCTGATTATATCCTTTGCTGTGCAGAAGAAGCTTTTTATTTTGATGTAGTCCCAGTAGTTTATTCTAACTTTCGTCTCCCTTGCCTCAGGAAATATATCTAGAAAAAAAGTTGCTACAGAGGGCACCTGGCTGGCTCAGTTGGTAAAACATGTAACTCTTGATCTGGGAGTCATGAGTTCAAGCCACACATTGGGCATGGAACTGACTTTAAAAATTAAATAAATTAAATTAAATTAAATGTTACTACAGCCAATGTCAAAGAAGTTACTGCCTATGCTCTCTCCTCTAGGATTTTTACAGTTTCAGGCCTCATATTTAGGTCTTTAATTCCTTTTGAGTTTATTTTTGTGTATAGTATAAGAAAGTGGTCCAGTCATCTTTTGCATCTTGCTGTCCAGATTTCCCAACACCATTTGTAAAAACACTGTCTTTTTCCCACTGGATATTCTTTCCTGCTTTTTAATTACCATACAGTGGTGTTCATTTCTGGGTTTTCTATTCTGTTCTGTTGATCAATGTGTCTACTTTTGTGCCAATGCCATCTGTTCTGATCACTACAGCTTTGCAACATACCTTGAAGTCCAGAAATTGTGATGCCTCCAGCTTTGCTTTGCTTTTCCAAGGCTGCTTTGGCTACAGGGTCTTTTGTAGTTCCACACAGATTTTAGGATTGTTTGTTCTAGTTCTGTGAAAAATGCCATTGGTAGTTTGATAGGGATTGCATTAAATGTGTGGATTTGGGGGGGCAGTATAGACATTTCAACAATATTTGTTCTTCCAATCTATTAACACAGACAGATATTGTTTTGTCTTCAGTTTCTTTCATCGTTGTTCTATAGTTTTCAGAGTACAGGTCTTTCACCTTTTTTTGGTTAGGTTTATTCCTAGGTATCTTATTGTTTTTGGTACAATTATAAAGATTGATACCTTAATTTCTCTTTCTGCTGCTTCATTATTGGTGTATTGCGTTGATGCTAGCTTTGTGATGTTGAGGATGTTCCCTCTATCCCTACTTTGTTGAGGGTTTTTTTTTTCTTTTTCTTTTTTTTTTTTAAGATTTTATTTATTCATGAGAGACACAGAGGGAGAAGCAGGCTCCATGCAGGGAGCCCGATGTGGGACTCGATCCCAGGTCTTCAAGATCAGGCCCTGGGCCGAAGGCAGGCGCCAAACCGCGGAGCCACCCAGGGATCCCTGTTGAGGGTTTTTATAACGAACAGATGTTGTCATCAAATAAATGCTTTTCCTACATCTATTGAAATGATCATACAGTTCTTATCCTTCCTCTTATTGGTGTGATGTATCACATTGATTGATTTGTGAATATTGAGCTACTCTTACGTGTTTGAAAGAAATCTCACTTGATCATGGTGAATGATTTTTTTAATACAGTTAGATTCAGTTTCCTAGTATTTTATTAAGAATTTTTGCACCCATGTTCATCAGGGATATTGGCTTGTAGTTTTCTTTTTTAGTGGAGTCTTTATCTGGTTTGGGTATCAGGATAATGCTGGTCTCATAAAATGAATGTGGAAGTTTTCCTTCTTTTTCTATTTTTTGCAATAGTTTGAGAAGAATAGATATTAACTCTTCTTTAAATGTTTGGTAGAGGGGCAGCCTGGGTGGCTCAGCAGTTTAGTGCCACCTTCAGCCCAGGGCCTGATCCTGGAGACCCAGGATTGAGTCCCACGTTGGGCTCCCTGCATGGAGCCTGCTTCTCCCTCTGCCTGTGTCTCTGCCTCTGTGTGTGTGTGTGTGTCTCTCATGAATAAATAAATAAAATCGTTAAAATAATAGTAATAAATGTTTGGTAGAATTCATCTGTGAAGCCATCTAGCCCTGGACTTTTGGTTTTTTTTGGGAATTTTTTTATTATTGATTCAATTTCTTTGCTATGCATCAGTCCGTTTGAGTTTTCTATTTCTTTCTGTTTCAGTTTTGGTAGGTTTTATGTTTCTAGGAATTTATCCATTTCTTCCAGGTTGTCCAATTTGTTGGCAAATAGTTTTTCATAAAATCCTCTCATGACTCTCTGTATT